AAGTGCACACTGCCACCAGAGATGTGGTGCATCCTTTGCACAAATGGGTCTGTTTAACTCCTTCCCAGTCTTGGTGCTGAATTCACCCTTGGAAATGCACTGACAGTGGAGTCAAAACTGGAAAATGCTCAAGTCCTAATCCCAACATCGAGATACTCTATCAAGAAAAAGGCTTGGCAAGTAATGCCTATCCATTTTGGGGAGATCATCCAGGGGTCAACCTGGTTTGTCATCCACCTGAGATTAAGCTGCTGACAGGAGAGCATGTGCCAGGAAGTCTCTGCATTCCTTCAGGATSAGCAACAACCTAACATCAGTGAGGCTCCATCAGCTTTTGCTCAACATGATCTTCATCCTTGGAAAAACATAGCTTGGTTTTACTTAGTGCTAAATCCCTCTTAACTTCTGGTAATTCTGTTCATAACCCAACTAGCCCAAGCAAACAGGATTGCCATGAGGCTGACAGAGGTCCACAGCACTTACAGTGCAGGCAGAAACTAAAGCAGTGTCCAGCCCAAAACACACTACAGACATCTATTACCACCGAGCAGCAGCATRGTGGCAGTAAGAGTATCCAGGAAGGGAAATCCTGCACCATTCTGGAACACATYTATGCCTGGGTTTACATAAAAGCTGATGGAAGGGAAAGAAAGGAATCGAGCCCAGTTCTTCCAGAACACTGTGGTGTTGTGTGGTCCTTTGCCAACACAACAACATGGGTACTCCCCAGACATCATCAGCATAAAGTGTTATGATGTGCAAAAAAATGTGCATAAACAGACTGATTCAGCCGTGAATGTAGATTTTGCCATCCTTTCAGAGGGAGTAAAAAAACAGCAGTTTTCTTGCTTTCACAGAGACAAAAGAATGCACTAAATTTCTTCACAGAACAAAAAAAAAGTCTGTATGGACAGATCTTTTGGTACCTTCCATACAGCAAACTGAAGTAGAAGCTTCTACACCTCATTGCCCAAATTATTGCCTCATTCTCAAGTCACAAACTTGCATAAATTTTTTTCTTATGACTTCAGCTTCAGCACTCCAAGCAACAAAGCAACTTCAAATTTACTTCTGAGTGGAGAAAAGTCCAAGTCACCATAAGTTCTTACTGTTTCTGTCATCCTCCAGCTACCACAGAGGCTCTGAATCAAAGGGTCACTACTTGTTCACTTTCCATGAAACAAAACTGAAAGCAACTGCTGCAGAGTCCCTGCATGGAGCAAACCCCAGSCTAGTATCACATGGCTATGCTGCCTCCCTTCAGACATAGCTCTGTTGCGCTCTCAGTTTCTCAATAACCTCACAGTTAATAAAAGGACATTTTTCACTCTGTACATTCCTTCATTGCAGCTTAGCCTCTCTAAAGAATTGCAAGGGAAGCTGCCTCCCCATTCCTGCTGTTCTGCAGACCCTCACTTTCCAAGTAAAACCCAAAGACAACATCTGTCATCTGCTTATGCATCTGCTCCCTCCCTCAGTGTGCTCTACTCTGCACCTTGCTATTCATAATATACTTCCTCTCTGTGCAAAACCAGAATGTCATCTCCTTCCACAACATAGAAAAAAAGTAGCATCTTACCTCAGGCTTTCAAAGCTAACTAAAACTCCCACCTAATACCTTGGCTCTTCTCATTTATATTCTGCAAAGTTATTGCAGCTAATAAGTTGGAGAGGGTGGTGGACACCTGGAGAACAGAGGATATGAGCAGGCACTGTATCAAAGCACTGCAGGAGTACAAAACCAGCTTGATGATAAAGTTCTCCATTGCAGCTTGGTCCCTCTTAGATAGATAGGTTTAAAGTCAATAAGGATAGAGARGCTTAGAGCTCACAGGTGTGAGGATGCAGCTGAGTGGTAACAGAACTAGGATTTCAGGATGATTTCATCCTTCAGTTACCATGAGGGGATTCGCTCTTGGATGCTGTTACAGTATTTCAGACCAAGCCCTCAAAAACATGGGAGTTGGAAGGGAACATCCATAGTAACTATCACTAGCATGTTGGGATAACAAGTGCTCGAGTCAGCGATCAGAGCCCACTAAAGACTTGAGTAATGCAGAGAAAGAAATTATTACTCCCCAGCCCCAGAGAAACATCTGCACAGCAGACGTCTCCACAGCCTCTAGGTGTGAAGGYATTTACATACATGTAGCAAAGAGTCTAGAATAGCTGTAGTCCATTTYGCCGTGGAAAAAAAATAAGTGCTTGCTTTGCTTTTTCACGAAGTAGAGACCTGCACATGGGTAACCAGCATAGAGGCATCCCGTGTAAACTGGAAAGGTCTACTATTTTTGTTGTATCTACCAAAAGAGAATGCTGAATGTGTCCATACTTCCCTACGGACAAAGCACTTGTCCTTGTTCGCAGGCAACATGACAGCAAAGCCCTACCTTCAGAAGTGTTTTTGTTACACCTATGTAATCAGCATTAAAAGAAGAGCTTTTTCTTCCTATTTAGTACAAATACCACATCTGGAGGTCATAAGCAACTAGCCATTTACCAGTTAACTACCACTAAGCTTGAAGACAAGTTTTCTACCCCAGGTTTTGAAAGAGCCACTGCCAAATTCATTGATCTCTTCCTCTCAGACATGCCTTCCTCCTCTTCTGCCACCACAGTGACCTGTGCTCCTCAAACTGTTTTCAGCCTGAGAACTGCCTGTTAGGAACTGTGAAATAGGAGAAAACACAAGTATGTAAGAACAACTAAAGCTTGTTCATATGCTAAYGCTCCTCATCCACCCCATCTCATCTCATAGAAGCAGCTAAAGAAAACCTGCTGCACTTCCATGCTTTTGATTAGTATCAGAAGATCTATCTGCCTTAGATCTTAGTCAACGACCACAATCACTTGTGCTCAGCAGTTTCAGAAAGCAGCTAAGCTGCTTCTTTCTGCCAGCTTTTAAATGAAGAATCATGGTTATACCTAGAAATATCACAAAACTGTGGAGTCAGAAGATGCTTAACAAAAATGACTCAACTGCAGCAAAGAAACAGACTGTGCAAGACAGCTGGGGCCCCTACATTTGTAATGAAGGAAGGGGTGACATTTCCAATCCTGTTGGCACAAAGTAAAATCTCCATGAGAAAACAGCCCTTCCTTTGATAGGCCCCTCCTCTACACCTCATCAACACCTTCTGCCACCTCCTACCCCCTGCTGCTACTACTGCTTGTAATCATAGAGGGCTCTGATTACGTGTTGTCATGCTTATGAGACAGAAATCCCGGCAAATCAAGTCACTTCCCTGCAATCCAAAAAGAAAATTAACTGCAAGTCAACCTAGATGAGAGTGTTACTGTAGAGAACAAATCAGTCCGTTTGGAAAGGGAGAACATTCACAGAGCCAGCAAGAAATTCTGCAGCTACCATCATCATCGCTTAAAAAGAMGACCATAGGCAAAACAACAAAATTGTAAACTATATTGTGCATAATGAAAATAAAAGATGATAGAAGCAGACCTTAAAATTCAGGACATCCTTTCCTCAAAAGGCACAGTTTTGTTACGGTTTGTTCCTTTTAAAGACCACTTCATTGCTAACCAGCAATCCTGCACTCCAAGAGATACCCAATCAATTTGACTGTTATTATATAAACGAATTCACCTGTTAAATCAACCTGGTTTGGCACAAAGCCATGATGAGCAGTTACAAAAACCACCTAAGCTGGATCTCCAGTGCCATGAGCTGTTCTTAATGGGGGCAGATTTATACTTCAACCTGTCTCTAGTTAATTTTATCTTTTGCACAATCTGAACATATGCTCTGATGGACCCTATGCATATAACATGCAATTCTCCAAATATGCCTGCAGGGTCTGTAGCTATAAAAATGAAGAAAATCACAGGACTTTGCCACAACAGAGTATATGAAACCCAACATGAACTCAACTGCTGCTTCTGGATGCACAAGGAGTTACCAAGACAGCCTGAGCATCCCCAGCRTGGTGCTGCTCACAGGCACGCCCGGGCAGAGCTATTAAAAATGAAAGACTAGTTCACTAGGATCTTGGCATTGATAATGATGTCATGGAGAATCAAATCTCTCAAAAAGGTCTCCGCCGGCTGTTACCATGCCCAGCCAATACAGGTACCATCACTCCAGGTAATTGAYTCTTCATTTCTCCTGTCCTTCTAAAAACGTAATGCTGTCAATTGAGTTGGGTACTCAGATGAGCCCATTTTCTGCTCCAGTGCAACAGTTCAATTACATTTGCCCTGCACTCCTGAATTTCCACCTTCCAGGGTGCCTCCAAGGAATAAAAGCTTGAACRTTTTGCCTTATTTCTTGGTGAACATCAGTCCCACCCCGGACACAGAAAAGGTCCCCCATCTATCCTTCCTCAAAAAAAGAAATAGGTTACTAAGATCCCAGGGAAAAGACCCATCTGTTCTTAAAAAAAAAAAAAATCTATATACTTCCTGAGATTTCATTGCCCTGATCTTCCTCTGCTTCCCACATGAGTATACTGTGACGTGAAAGAGAACGAAAAGGAGCATAGAAGGCTTGCTAAATCAAGGTGCAGACATACATGAATTTTCACTAATGGCACAACTATCACACAGCGACATCCTGTTAACTAATCCACTCTATGCTCCTGTCAAATGGGAAGCAATGCAACTTAGCAGTTTGCAAGAGGTTGTATCACACAGGCTTTCCTAAGGGCCAAAGCAAGCGAGCAAACAGCTGTCACAGCTCAAATGATGCATGAGAAGGGCACATAATCARGCACAGGATGCTGATTATTTGCTTGAACTTTATTCAAGTCCTGTCTGTCTCTCACAAATTTGGAGCTGTAAGTTGCACCCTACTGTTTGGGAGGCAGCAAACAAGCTTATGCCTGAATCCACCCCAATTTGCTTTCCTAAGTTACAGAAGACAGATGATTAGGAAAATACAGATCCTCCCTTCTACATAATTTGGTATGGACACCAGAACCCTCCCTAGTGTTTTCCAGGAGGGGCACACATCCCAAGCCTGTTCACATACCTCAGGTCTGCAGAGCTAACACAGCCTTGGTCCTAGAGTCATCAGCATGTGAGGAAGAGCAGTTCTGATCTAGCTTTTCATTGACCTGCCATAATAGCAGTTGGGTGCCTATACAAAGCTGCATTTGGGGTCAGTTAACACTCACGCCTTTGGATCCATTGCAAGACTTCATCCATAGCTATTGCCCTCCAGAGAAAAAGGAATGAGGTGCTTTATTAGTTTGAATGGATCAAAAATTAGCTACAAGCATTACAGTAAATTACAGGCAACTAAGCAACCAGGGAGCAACCCAGAATACAGATGGAATAATCATCCTTTAATGGCATCATTAYGAGATGAACCTGGATATAGTTATGCTAGGTGTGCAAGAGCTCTCCTAATGAATCCTAACATCAGAATACTCTCCGGTGCCAGCTGCAAATGTTTAGCACCTTTCAAGTTCATCCAATGGACTTCTGGCATTAAAACAGGAATTGAGTTTGGAAGAAGACTGCTGCTTCGTTACACAGTTGATTTTGCTCAGAAGGCAAAAGAAATTGTATCRGGTCCTTTTTCCACATGCTGCATCTTTGAATCTTGATTCTTCTTATTCTCCACTCTACTTTGCGGGGGGCAAAAAAAAAGATGGGGAGGGAAGATATATCAGCATTTGTCTCATACTTAACAAGTAACCAGCCACCCATAGCCTAGGAAAAAAATATATGCAACTATAGCATCAGATTCATAGCCTGGGGATTCTGTAAGGAGAAGACTACATATGCAGAATATTTAACACATGCAAAAATGTGTGTATATGAAGCAGGTTGCTGTAAAATTAGCAACAGTGAAATAATTAATGCAGGAGATACAAATCAACACACGCCAGAAAGTCTCTAAATCAGGGAAGGTTAAGGTTATAAGCTGGTGCATGGTCTTCTGAGAAATGCATTTCAATTAAGAGCTACAATATGCACAGCAAATTTGAGCCGTGCTTTTTCTGAGAGAACTTGCAACTGCCTCGACAGCCATCTGTAGCCTACGCTGTATTTTCATCAAGCTGGTCACCATGGCAACCTGAAATTTTCCTGTAACACAATTTTGTTAATAAAATTTCATGGATAGGTTTGTGCCAGAAAGGAATGTCCACACATGGGGCAGTGATAGAAACAACAACATCCTGAGAGGTGGCGTTTAGCTTGCTTGGGATCACCAAAGGTCCTGTCCAGCTCCCAAGGATGAGGGATGCAGGCCGAAGAACCGGGACCAGTCGCTAAACTCGGCTTTTGGCAGCAAGAGATCCTTTGTGCTACCAGCCTCCCATCCAGATGGGAGCRGTGTCCTACTGCCTGAAGAAACAGGCAGAGCCGTTATATTTGTGCAGGGGTGAAGCCAGCAGGCTGAGGGAAGTGCTTCCTCCTCGCTAATTGACACTTGTGACACCACATCTGCAAGGTTGTGCCCTATGCTACTGGCTCCCCGGGAAAAGACAAGCATGAACGAAGCGCAGCAAGTCCAGCAGAAACCACCAGGATGATTAGGAGGCTGGATTAGAGACAGATGGATTTGCCTGGAGATGAGAAGGAGTAGATCTCCCTGATGGGAGAACGTAAGGAAGATGCACCCACACYGTTCTCATAGGTACACTGGGAAAGGATGAGAAGCACAAGCTCAAACAGKGGAAGCTCCAGCCTGATATATGAAAAGAGCTTCTTCCTGAGAGTGCTTAAGCAAGCAGATGCCAAGAGGGGTGGGTTCTTCATCCAGGGATATTCAGACCTCAGATGGAGGATCTAACTGGCCCTGCTTTGAGCAAGGGTTGGTGTAGAGGTTTTCAAAGGTCCCTTCCCACTGTTTCTCTTATAAGATCATTCCTAGTGCTTGCAAAACACTGCACTGAACAGTGGGCTGACAGCTACCAGAGCCCTTTCTGGCTCTCCACTGAAGTAGTATTGGCTTTCCTCAKCAATAATATTAAGGGGATCTTAAAATGACACAGCAAAGTCAGAAGAATCATCCAAGCCCTGCAGCTTCTAGAAGCAGGAAGAATTTCCTCGGTGCAACAGTGGGCTAAATMCTCCAAAATAAACCTAGAGGAAGCGGGCAAAGGGGGAGACAAAATCACTGCCACTCAGAATAGCAGCAAGAGCTGGGCAGAACAATTCTCCTCTCATCTCAGTGTAATACCTCTACTTCACCCCCATGCTGCGATCTGACCTGAACATCATGAAAGGTCCTCACTGAGTACAATTAAATGCCAGCCCTTCATTTCTGAGATGAGAGCCCCTGTCCTCTCTGCTGCAACGCATCACAGGTGCCAGGTGATGCCCAGCACTCCTAGCTGTGATGCTCAGCTATCACAGACTCGCTGCAAGGAAAGGGAATATAATGGTGTCCTGTCATTTCCTCCCCAGTGCTTAAGACAGATAAATTGCTCTGCTCTCCCTCTCAAAGCTGATCCGGATATGGAGGCTCATGCATTATGCAACAGATCCCATTCTGCAGGGATTTTCCTTGAGGCCTCGCTTCCCCCCTCCCCAGAAAGCTATAAGCTACTTCCAGAGAATCGAGACAGTCGGGTGGGCGAACGGAGGGAGCAGCAGGAGGGGAGAAGGGAGACTAATGCGCAGAGCCATGAGAATATAAAWGCAGGACTAAACTCCCAAAGGCAGCAGCTTCTTAATGAAGTCACCCAGGATAAAAGCTAAGCTTTCCATGCCCCAGGAGGGCAATGTGCCCTGCTCCATTATTACTTTTCTGGAATAAGAATAAACACAAACCATCCAATCTGCTCTGAAATTTGGATCCTGGATTTCTCAGGCAAAACAGCTCCAATCCTACCACTTATTCCACAATACTCAAGGAYGCCAGGCTGTTTAGTTGTGTTTCAAGCAGTTTAACCATATTGCAAGGATGCCAGTCAGGACATAAGAACTGCCCTRACCCCATTACAGCCACCAGGGAGCTATGCCAGGTAAGCTCCTTCAGAGARTAGTTTAAAGACAACAATGACTTGATGAGGAAATCACAGCCCCTTGGCTTTATACAAAAGGAACCTGATCTTCTGTTAGAAAACACTTTCCCCAYGTGATTAATGGCACTAAGAGAAAATTAGTAATTGCAACCTACGTGTATAGTGCAAGCAGAGACAGGAGTCGTCTTAATTTTCCTCTTCAAGGAAATGAAGCAATGCTGTTGACTCCAGACAGAAATAAGTCATAGGTTGGACCCCACCCTTTGCAGRAGAGTTGCCTTTGGCAGTTGATTTTGAAAGAGCAGAGCATTGGGGACCTTGTCCCTTGGCTTTCCGAGATTCAAGATGCTCAGCAAACTTGAGCCTCTTTTTTTAAGAAAAAAACTTTCCTTGTGATTCAGAGCCACAAATATCCCTTAAGCTGGTCTCAGCTTAATGGAACCTAGAATTCCACATAAAATCTCACATACCTGAGCAYATGCAGAAAGCTTTTAATCTGCTCTGTGATACACAGCATCCTTTTCCTGAGCAGGAATCCCTCCTCCCCAAGGGTTTCAGCAGGGGATTAACTGCATTGCTAACATGCCCTTTGCTGACACTGTGGCCTCGAACACAGCTCCAGCAAGCTCAGCACAGATCCTACAGGCCAAACTAACTAGTGACCTTACACTTGTTGCAGGCTGAGGTTGTTAATCAGTGATCAGCTGTTGCAGAGCAGCTGGCTCCCCTGCTGTTACTGGCTCACGTGCCAGGGGTATTTGGTGGACAGGCCAGTCCATGGCCTGACAYGCGATTTGTACAAGCTCCCCAGGTCCGGAGGTACATTAGGAAATAAATCCACAAAATCTGATTAGGATTTGTCACTGAAGCAAGCTCGTTAATCATCGATGGGGTTCTCACTGTGCATCTAGCTGGCTCCTGCAGGTGTCCACAGATCGACTGGGTCTGAAGACTGTGGATTTGACAAAGTTTTGCTTCATATAAGAATTGCACTTCCCCCCACTTCCCCTTTGAATATCTAGCACATTCTAATAAATCAAAAAAAAAAAAAGAGCCATAAGGGATCAGTGAAATGATTTAGACTAGCTTCTTGCATAAAGCCAGGCACAGGATTCCCCTGAAATAATTCCTGTGGCTGAAGGGAAATATCACGTTCAGAAATGCAAAATCCACGATCAAAAATTTAACCACTCGTCTCAGTAATCTTTGCAGCACTCAGTTTCCCACACTGTTCAATAAAAAAGAATCACACTTTGTTTCTCACCTGAACTTGTCTAGCTTTGCCTGTCAACACCGGCTTCTTTGTCTAAGAGATAAAAGTCTCATATCAAAATGCTGCTTCCCTAACCTCCTCCAAAATCTTCTTTCAGCTACATTAAGCCAGCTGAATTACTGCCATCTCAAAACATAGCATTTCCTATGCTTCATCGTACCCTGTCATCACAGAATGAATTGTAACAACGCCAACCATAATCATGCAGGTGCCAAAACGCAGGAAAATAAATTTGAAAAAATAAAACAAAAAACATGACTTTCCTGGCCTCCAACACATTAAGTAATTTGGATACTGATTGTTCCAAGTGAAGCTCACAGATGAAATCCTCAGACTTTGGACATGAGTGAAATTGAGAAGCAAACAGCTCCAGACCGCAGCTAATAATATTTCTGTTGATCAACATGTATCAACAAATGGAAGAGACAAGCACTTTCGATGGGCTTTGAACATCTCCTTCAATCTCCTGATGCAGCCACAACAGGACCAAAACAAGGGACTCTCGTCCTTGCAACCTACCTTCAAGAGTGAGCAGAAAGCATTAAACTGGCAGTGGATAGTGTCTCAAAACTATGAATTTATCACTTTTTTTTTCATATTCTCTCTCAAGAAGGTTTTATTTCTTGCTTCTCATTTAGAAGTTTGTCAGGCACTAAGTCCAGCAACAGAAACCATTTGTGACTGCTGTTTTATTAGGATGGCTCCTCTGGAGGACCAAAGAACTAGTTTTAGAGACACAGCATTTCTGAGACGCAAGGAGAAGAGATGACAGCACATTTAAAGARCATGAGGATCCTTCTCCACAGCTTCTCTAGAAGATGGTTTGAAGATGCTTCAATGCAAATTCACTGAGCCAGATGGGCAAAGTTTGGTTCACAGAAGCCAAAGGACAGGCATTTACAAAATTTCTCCCACTCTTCTCTGAAACAGAAAATCAACAGCATGTTACTGTTCAATAAGTCCCAGCCTTTCCACACTAACACCTCAGAATAAAACTACCCAAAAGGACACAATTCACACCAAAATGCCACTGCAATATGCTCTTAAAAGCTGAAAGACATAGAGAAAAGTCAGAAATCCCTCTCAGAAAAAAAAAGCCCAAATTAAAGCTGCACTTCACCTTGCACTGGCTTATGGATAAACTAAAATAGCATATGGATTTAACAAAAACATTTTTATAAGATCAAATAAAAGCCTGACTTAACAGAATTAATAGGCTTTTCCTTTCATATCTAGCTTCTAGGAAAGCGGGGAGTATATCTCCTTCAGCTCATATATGTTTATGAGGAAGATACTTATGAGTAACAACTGTTTTGGGTGACTCATTGGTGCAATCTGCATCTAAAATTGTCTTTTTTTGCAAAAATGGAGAGACTGAATCAAGTGCTACAAAGACACAGACTTCAGTTCTGGCCCTGCCACAGGGACCCAGACCTGCTGTGGGTGGGTAAGCAGAGAGCCCTTTCTACAGCAAAGGYGTAGCACTGAGATCTTTGCTCTTCCTTTCCCAAATGTTTTAGTATTAGTTAACACACTAAAGAACCATCTCCATTTGGTGTTGCTAGAACTCGTAAAAATATCTCCTTTCAGATTAACTCCATAATACAGCAGGTAAAATATCAGCAGCAATTACAGCTACTCCCACACACATTCTCAGAAGTAGGTCAGCAAAGGTGGTGTGTGCAGCATAGGCCTTGGCAGATCCAATGAATCATGGGTCTCTGTCACTATTATTCCCATTACCTGGGCTCCAAACATCACCTTCACAGGTTCTGAGACAACAGCTGCCCTGGGCAAATTGCTTCTTTGTTCTGTCAGATACATTATTAGTGCATTTATTTTCTGTTTGCTAGACTGTGTGGCCTCAGAGCCCTGTTGCATTAGATTGTGCACAGACTTGGCCATTCCTTCAAGCATTTGGAGGAAAAAGTGATGCATAAGTAGACTCTACAAGTTGTGGGCGAGAAGAACTGGCAGAATGGGCCACAAGCAGATTAYCTGAGAGCCCTTACCAAGACGCTATAGAAGGGGGCAAGGTTCAGATTCCAGAGGCAAGTGCCTCACCCCTGCTGAGTGCAACACACCTGGGAAGTTACAGAGCATCCCTGAGACCGTAGCACTCACAGAAATACCTCTCTGTAAACCAAGACAAATGGAGACAGAAAGCTTGATCCTTAAGCACCTTGATTTTGTTGGCCACTGTTTTCACACCACCTGTACACTAGGACACTAGTGTTTATGTGAGCGTGAGACAGACTGCTTAAGAATGAGCTCTGTAGATATATGTCTTTTTGGAAGTGAAACGGGTAGAAGACAAGTAGGCAGCAAAACCCTCTTCTGCTGTCTTGGCCACCCACTGAAGCCTTCTGCAAGCCCTCCCTTAAGCACCAGAGACACAGAAATATAAACCCTGCCCGCAGACTATTGATGGCATCCCAATCTGGGACAGTTGACAACATGGAATAGAGCAACTCCCACGCCTACGTCACAGTAATAGTATCTTCCATTTCTTAAGCTGGGAACTTAGTAGATATTTGGACCTCAGAGGGTCTGAATCCCCATATATCCCTCCTACCCATTTACTTCATCTCRCAGGAAAAGAGAAAAAGTAATTTTGAATTATTCTCTGCACTGTATAAAATGGGAGAACTGAGGAAGCAGAATTAMAATCCTTCAGCTCTTTACACCAGTTGGCTTTACCCTATGGTTTAGTTAGGGTTACATTCCAGGCAGAACCAGGCAGCTTATCAAAGTGCTCCCTCTATTTGTCCTTTGAATTACAAGAATTGCATGGGTTGCCTCACATTTCAGCAACATTTGGCAAGTGACCAATTGATAGTGCTATTTGTCTTCCTCCCATGCCTCTGCATTTCCCCATAAGCAAGTCCTACAAACGCCTAGGACAAAATGTCTTTTAACACGCTTGCAGCCAAGAAGCACATTCTCCCAAGAGATCCTGAGCAGCTACATTCCTGCTCTCCCCAAAACTCTGCAGCCTTAGCCTGCCTGAAAGCCATCCTTTCAAGTGTACTTACCCAGATCACGTTATTCAGTCTTGTCAGAGCTGACATAGCTGCGTTTACGCCAGTTTCCATAACTGCTGCTACCTCTTCTTGAAGGGAAGGTTTCAGGAGCAAAGAGACCTTTTTAAAAAKAGAGACATGCATGGGTGTTGCGTGCTTCCAGGTCAGTGTTCATTTGACATTCTGTGTCATCAGGACAACTGCAAGGATGCACACAAATACTAACTGGGAGAGCCCAAGTCCGGCAAACCAGAAAGCGGCCACAGAGAGCACACCAGCCTCAACATTGCCCCATGCTGCAGTCCAGCACCCTCAGTACTTTCTTAAGGAAATGGCCTCACAAACAGGGAAAGGAAGCTAGGCATGATCTGAGCAAATTGCTGGTCTCCCCATTTCCTCTAACTGATGACTTGCTCGCACTGAAAAGGCAAACCCACATGTGCCTGGGGAGTCCAGCATGGCAGAAATCCCTTACCTTCAGAGAGACTGCTGCCTCGCCTGGAGGGGTTCATTATCTGTGTGTACATCATCTGTAAATTAAAAGAGACTTCTTTAAGGAGCATCCAACTTCAGGTCAACATCGTGGGTACCCAATACCTTGTCTGACCTGACTGTAGTGCAGATACGGCCAAGCAACCCAAAAAGCAGAGTCATTCTGTTGTGCTCACATAGAGTATCTTCTAGACCCCAAATAACTCTTTTAAAGCCCTATAATCTTATTTTTAGATCTTTATTCCACTACTATAATACCAGTCTCAGCCAGTCATGGATATGACTAAATTCTGCACTACTGAGTTTAGACCAACATCATTCACAGTGGGCCAGGCTGAGATCCTTTGAACCCAGTTAAAACCTCTAGAGCAAGAGCTGCTGCGCACCTGCTGCAGCCCTTYGCAGAAAGAAATACTTTCTCTTTCATGTGCAATAATTCCCTTTGGCATTTATTCCCCATTAACATTCTAGCAAATATATTCCCTAACAGGAATATTGGCAGGAATACTGAATTTTAAGTGATGGTTAAAAACAACTTGCAGAAAGAACACTGCTTGTAAAAGCAAGTGTTTATACTGGGTGTCCAATTAAGAAAGAGTTATGYTTAAAGCACAGAGGACAAACCGAACATCCAAGACTACCTTACTATTTCATTGCTTCACACACAGTTTTTCTGCTCTGCAAATCAAAAATTCCTGTGGTGCATTCACTAGCTAGCTCTGAATAGAGACACTGAACAAGAAAATCACAAGCTATTTTGGCAATTCAAATCAAGGGGTGATGCTGAATCCTATATGCTTCAAGTTATTCATTTGGCTGCTTGCAATTCCCAAAAATAAAAGCTGTCCTTATCCTCTGGCACTTTGCCTTTGGAACCAGCTTCATTCCCAAACAATCCTCAAGCACACCACCCACCACTGATTTGTAAGTGCAGGCACCCAATTTCAGATGAGCTCCTGTTAGTTCAYGCAAAGGTGCACACTGGAAGGAGTTGAAAACAGCTAGCTGGAATCCACAGATTGGGAGCAGCATTTACACGTGCCTTAGAAACCAAATGAGACAGCTCAAAACCACATGGAACACACATCCCAGCAGAGCAGGCCTTCTTCAGTTATACTATGATTAAATGCTCAGTTGAGGGCTGGATTTAATAACAGTCACAGTCATCAGATGTGTCTATAAAGATGTGCCTATCACTGTTCTCCAGATGCAGGCACACAATGTATTTTAATTAAGAAAAAACATCAAGGTTGGTAGATCTGCCAAACTATCAGAGATTTACACTCTCTCAAGGCAGCCATCAAGCAAGGTCAAGCCTTGCAACTGATGAGAAAATACAATATGACAAGAGACAGCTAAGACTTCTAACCACATAATTTTCTCTTTGAAACCTTCAACTGCTACTAAAAGATCGCAGGAGCTTCTGCAGCTCAGAACAAGAGGGTTAGCAGATATCTGAGTAAGGAGAGAAAAAGGGCACCAGAGGAACCCCAGCTGGGATGGGAAGCTCTCTGTCCATGTGGTAGTGCATAAAAAAAGATAACTTTGAAGTGGCCATTGTATTTGGAGTGGAGGATCTGGGGCCTAGTGATTAATCATGGACAAATTCCATGTCCCACAACACCTCAATCTCTCTACAGAAAATGAAAACATTAAGGTAGAAAAAATCTCTGTATTGACCCTCAGTTTCAACATGCATGATCACAGCCAGTTATGAATCCTGCCTTCACACATACTTACCCAACCTCTCTTTGTTCTCCCAGGCTGCAAAAACAGGTTGTCTCCTTCCTTACCTCTTCACTGCTTATTGATTCTGAGCTGAACATATCCTGATGGCACTGGACAACCATGTTTGTGATCTGCTCTTCAGAGACTATCACAACACTTCTGCAGAAAGCACTTGGCTGTAACAGATTCAAATAAGTCAAATTTGATGGAGCAAGACTATAAGTGCAATCTCACTTCTAGAGCTTCATGGAGGAGGATCTCTGTCTAGAGATCTATGAACCAKTTTCCAAAAGGAAAAGCTCAAGTTTACACCTCTAAACTAATTCCTGGAGCAGTCTGAGGCCTGAACAATATACTTYGGTTGCATGCAACTCCACACTACCATAGCCCCAAGTTATTGCTCTACTRTTGCATGTTAATACATGAAGCCAGAGCATACTGCAGATGAAAATTCCTAAATCCTTTCCATGCCTCTGGCTTTACCAGCCATGAACAGAAAAGGCATGAACAGGGCTATGCTGATGCAGCTTCCACTCTGGAAGTAAAACTCCCTATTAAAGAAGATGCCTTCATGAYTGAGGGAAAGCTTGAGTCAAATTCATATCCACATTTAGAAAACTGATAACCTTATATGGTTTTTCATACCCCTTCACRTTAACAGGAAAGGGGTGGTTCTTCYCAAATGTTCTCTCTCTATATGCTCCATCTATACTAATAGTTGTAACATAAGCCTGATRTGTTTATTTCAAATTGAAAACAGAATTGGAAATCTGATAGAAAAGCTTAGCACAGCCTGTTGACAACAAAGGTGGATCTGCATGCAGTAAGTCTATATATGACACCTTCTTCGTCTCATCCAAGAGCAAAGTCAAGAGCAAAGAACAACTGCTGGCTTCAGGGACCCCCTCAGGTGAGGAGACTTTGCACTGCCAAGTGAGTTTTGCTTCTTTCCAAAGTTAGAGGTGGATTCTCACCAAGTCCATGAACAAGTGTACTCACTGTTCAAACCTGCCAGGAAAAATGTACTTGACTTCACTTTACAAGTTTCACTTGACTTAAGACTGCCAAGCTCCTTTCTCATTCTATCTTGTCATCCCCACATCTTTAGCTCATGTAGGACTCCTTTGTACCCTCTCTGAGGATGTTYCCACATGTCACCCTACATTAATTACAAATTCTTCATTTGTACCTACTTTCTTGGCTTCTTACCCCTTACCTGGATGGATGATAGACAAAAGCTGGTCAAAACCTCAGTTCTCTCCCTCACTTCTCTTGGAAGGAAGCCGTACCCTCCTTCCAGGACACTTTCACTACATGCTGCTTTGAGACAAACATACTTTCTATTTAGCTCTAATACTCACTCCCACACTCTTCATGGATCAGTCAGAAGAGTTTCCAAAGAACCACCTCCCTACTCCATGTAACTCTTGTTCCGTACTGCAGGCTGTGTTTGTTTTGGTTTGTTTGGCTTTTCAGGAAATCTATCACTCATCAGAGCATGTTTCAACATGCTGTGTGAACGACTTGTACCAGGGGGTGTTTTCTGTACCCTTCCACTCCCCCCCATCCAAGGGCACAAAAGCACTTACCACAAAAGGCCCTATTTTGAAGTCACATGTGAATGGGTCTCTCCCTGAAATTTTGGTGCATACAGTTTCACGGATACTGAACTGTATCACCAGCTTGTAATCATTGCTGTTCCACATGTCAACCTGGTAAAAAGATTAGCAAAATATATAATTAGTGCCTGTTAGTCTTCCATGTCCACTACGTGGCAATCATAGTTCTTTATCAAGCAGAGCCAAGAACTTAAGCAGAGAGACACAAGCACACTTAAGTGGTGTGAGAAAAGGTGTTTTCTTATATRTTTGTAAGAAAAGGGCATATTTTGTTCTTTCAAGCAGATTTGGTAACAACCACCTAGTACAGCTTTCCACACGTGCTTCAGATGAAACACCACAGTCCATTGCAGAGCCTCGGGTGGGTTTCCAATACTGCTGCTACCAACACAACAGCAAGCCAGCACTCCTGATRCTCCCACCCTTTCTGCAGGAATCCAGGTGATAACAGCTCTGCTTTGGCTGTCTAGGCTGCCAGGAAGTATATTGAAAACACGYGAGTTGTAAGTAAATCAGAAGATGGCAAACAATTGAATTGACACAGCTTGGAGAGAGACTCTTTGATAGCTCCAATGCCTCAGYAGGACATGTGCATGACACTGCAAACTTCAGACTGCTTGGCTGCTTTTGTTGAAATACTAAGCTCATCTTTTCTTAGCCTCACAGTCTAATCAATGTTTTAGCTTGGTAAGGGAGACTTAAACAAAACCACTCCTTTCAAACACAWGATTTTCCAGAGTAAATCTATTCAAATGCCATTTGCCATTCATCCTTGCAGAAGATTTGATACACACCACCTAGCAGAAACAGTGATTCTCAGGTTGTTCAGGAACACAGGCATGCCAGCTTTATAATATAGAGTTAACTCCTTACCTTTGGGAACCCAATACAATTCTTAGCAACATAGGCTAAAACAGCCAAAGGTTTCCAGATTGTACTGGTGTTCAGAGACAGGTGAAGTAAATACAGATTGAAGAAAGACTCCTGTGTTGGTAGTGGCATCTAATTAGCATTGCATTCAGCTGAGCCTGTGAGAAGGCCCCAGTGACCCTGTGCCCCAGACAGAAAGCAGTTTGATGGAGGTATTTGAAAGCACCAGCTCTTTTTTGAATAAAGTTTGGAACAAAGTCCTATGAGACCTCCCTTACAAATTCTTATTTTGGGAATGCAGAATTTGAATTCCTAACATCATTAATTAAAAAAAGCAATACACAAAGACCATTCAKGTTTCTAAAGCTACAGCCTCAGAAAAATTCTTTGAAGAAAAGCATATTTCTGTATCTGAATCGTCTACAAACTTACACTTCTAACGTGACTCCTGACAACACCATACAGGTTTGGCCCCCGTGACTGAGAATTGATTCTTGCAATGGAAGCATTGAGAGCCTCTTCTGTGACCGGCAGTTCATAGTCATACACTGGAAACGCTGAGACAGACACACAATTCCATTAGAGGTTAATCTGCTCTCATACCACTTTTCCCCCCAAATCACAAGAAATAGGACATGGATCCATTCCGAGCAGCTTACCTGAACATGAGAAAACACCCACTGTAAGCACAAAAATTAAGATCCTCATAGTGTATCAAAATCCTCTGGTCTTTACCTGCTTTCTAAGCAGTGGTTTCCAGATCATGTTCCTGTCTTTATATAAATACAGCCCTGATATTACACCTGACCTTCCCGTGTCCGAGCTCTGCTACAAACATTGCACTTTAAACAGAATTGATTGCAGAGTAAATATTTCCTGTCGCTTTTCTCCATTTAGCAGTAATTCTCCATTAAGACATGCACTGTAGCACTTTTTTTTTAACCCTAGCACTGTGACTAAAAGGAGGCACTGAATTTCTGACAYCTCCATAGCCAAAGGCAGGACCCAATTCTTTTTGCTCTCTTCTAGATGCTTCTTTTTTTCTCCCATTTAAATCTGTCAATTCTTCTGTTACTACCTTTGTGTCCCTATAGTGACTGAAAGCAGTTTCACACCCATGATCCCTGAGCAGAAGATAATTCCCCGGAACTGAATGGGAATTTTCCTACATAGACACATCTATCACCACGACCCCGTTGGGCCACAGCATCAAATGGAAGCCTCTCAGATACAGGCACAGTGTGAACCCTTGGGACAGCCCAAATCCTTTTGCCCAGCAGACAAACACTACTTGGGCCTGATGGCCAAGTCTGGGTCAAGCTGACCACAGAAGTCACTGGCTGTGGCCATTCAATATCCTCCTCTAGATTCCCTCTACAAYGCTCAAGCCTTAGTGTCAGCACAACAATTAACAAGAGTTTTGAAAAAAAATTATGGCTTGTCATTACTGAAGCTCTTAGCTTATTAGAGCCAGAGAGCAAATGGACAAAGGGATCAGTGACCATCCTCTCCATGGCTGCATCTGGAAAGCTGCTCTTGTCACATGCAAGCAACATGTGTTCTAACTGTATGACAGCAGACACTCCGAAATGGTGTTAGCAAGATTCAGAGAAGCACCTGTGTTTTACTGCTAATAGCTCTCCACCAGAGTCAGGAGAAGAGAGAAAAAAACTGCTCAAGAGATTCAGTAACTGCTTTTGAACAAGTTCACCCATTCCTGACTGTTCATAAGGCAGAGAGATATCTAAATCCCAGGTATAAATTTCCTCCCTTAACCTTCAAATTGCAGCTCTTCTTGTWGCATGGGGAGTGAGGTCACTTTCAGAGCTGCCTACATGACAGGTACTCAAGGAAATCGAGAAAGGACRCGGAGCATGCAAAGTGCAAGGCTGATATGCAGTAAGAGCACAAAGCTGCTACTGGTTGTTAGCTCTTAGGGTACGGAAAGGCATGGGCATCCTATTAGTGCTCAGCAATAGCAATGCCATGGCATCTTGCCCATTCCTCACTGCTATACTCAGATACTGTTGCCAGAARGAGGGCTACAAATCCTAGAATCCTTAAGGTTTGAAGGGAYCGTYAGAGATCATCTAGTCCAMCCCTCCTGCACACACAGAGTCACCCATAGCATGTGGCACAGGACTGCATCCAAGCAGGTTACTTATCCAAGGCAGAAACCTCCAAGAATTTGCAATCAAATGGGACATTTCACCTGTATTAAAAGTAATAGTCACATCCTGAGCAATATCAAYAAACAAGCAACCTTCCTCCTCTTCATCCTCAGCTTTGCACTGCAGAAGTGGTACAGGACGATGAATGCAAAGCTAAGGCAAGCCAAGCCATCAGACCAGATCCCGCTCGCGGTGTGCCCCAGCGAGCCAGCTCACGTGCCAGTTGGTAGCACTCCATATGAGCACAAACTGTGTCTCCACTTGGAACCAGGCAGGCCCGGGAAGACAAACAGACACGCGGCCAAGCAGGGAACGCGCTGGGGCCACCTCACCAGCTCGCAACACGCCACGTGTGCTGCCTTCAGCCACACGCGTGGGAGCGTGCCCTGCAAAAAGGGGTGGGCGTCTCGGGAGCCAAAGACAGTCAAAATGAAACTACAACTATTTAGGAGAAAGAATTTGGATTTCAGCACTAGGAATATGGGCCAAAATGCCATTTGAATCTTTTCCCAGTGGAAAAGTAGAGCCTCTCCTGCACTTTGTGCTCATGGCAGCTGTGGACAGCCTCTCCCTGCCCCTGGACATCCCCATCTGTAGAAGGACTGCTGGCCGTTCCTGCTTCCCTTTTCTTACAAGCTGCCTGTGCCCCAGGCAGGCTGGCTAACACTCTTACCTGCTGCAGCCAGGACAGAGCACCACAACGCAGAGCTTTTAAACTCAAGAACAGAACCTGGTGCATTACAGTGACTTCTTCTGCAGCCCCAACCGTGAAGCCTCAGATCCAGGAAGAATCCTTCAGATAGACCATCCTGACCTGCCACTTCAGTGCTTTCTCTGCATTCAGCTTTACTGCTCCTGTGATAAGGAAACAAGACAGTTCTTAACACATGGACACAGTGGAATCTGCATTCCGACCTCCAAGGACTTTACAGTTTATTCCCCACCAACTTGCTACAGTACCTTGGACAATACACAGCTTTTGTCTTCATCCCTATAAAAAGGGATCCTTTGCCTCCTCTGATAGAAGCATTTAATGTTTTATTAGGACCTGAAAATACAAAACTGCTTCCTAAYTGTCGAGCAAGAGCATTATTAACAACCCCATAATAATTTTAACTAGGGACCTGATTGTACTTCTCTGACAGTAGCTACGAGGTGACGCTGCCAGCAGGAATGTAGAAGAGCTGAGCAGTGCTTAAAAATAAAATTGTTTAATGAATGAGAGGTTCTCCACAGCGCTCTGGCTTTGCTTTGCCATGTCCAGAGAACGGAGATGTTCATTATTCCATCTYGCTAAATCTTGGTTCATTAAGCCTGTAATGAACTCGGTAAATATTTCTCCTGTGTCTCCACAGATACATTATACACTCCAGTAGATTCATGTTGTTACAACAAAATTAACTTCATTCACCATACATGTCAGAGGAGCTCTCGTGTTGAGGGCAGAAAAGCGAGCGCTACCTTCCATGGCTGTGGGTATGGAGGATAGACAGAGCTCTCCCTCCCTGGTCTCCCCATTTGGTCTCACCAAGACAGAGAGTGAGGAAGGAAGCAGATGGCTTCCTCCTCCTCCTCCAAACCATCTGCCCACCACTAAAGGCTCTAGTGCAAGAATCCCTCTGCTGCAGAAGCAGGTCTGGCAAGTGAAAGCAAAGAACAAAAATAACTCTCAACTTTGTTCCCCAAATATCAGGGCCAGGTTTTGAGGAACCAGGAGCCAACAGAACATCCAGTCAACCAAGAAGGGGCAGGACTGATTGAGGAAGAACCACAAACATGAACAAGCTCATGCTTATTTTCCAGCTATTAGCTGGGTAGGACATCTTTTCAAAGGAAGGTTGAAATGCTTTACCATCCTCTCTTCTACCTCTCTTCCTTCTGGAGTGGTGGAATGCTACCATCCCTGGCAGTATTCAAGAAATGTGTAGATGAGGTTGAATAGGCAAAGTCTTGAAGGGCTTATGGTTGGACTTGATCTTGAAGGTCTTTTCCAAACATAATGATTCTGTRATTCTAAAGCTGAGGAGGTGCTAAAACAAGACAGGCATTTCTGAAGTGTTTTCCACAGACTACCACCTTCACAGGAACTATACAAACCTTTCTGGGAAGAACATCCAAAAACCATAGAGTACTAATCAAATTAATGTAGCAGACAACTTCCAGGAGAGAGCTTGCAGAGCTGGCTGCAAAAGCACATGGGTTCACACTTATAACCTTCCCTCCTTAGAAAGCGTAAGAACAAGTATTATGGGATACGATGAAACCTCATGAAACCTGAAATAGTACAATGGGGAGAAAGACAATCTATGGTAATTTAAAGACTGAACTTTGGCTTCAGTATCAGCAAGTTCCAGCTGCCAAGCACTTTGGAGAAGAGGAATGGTGGTATCCAATTTAATTTATGCAGCAGAGATGTGCATCATTTAAGAACACAGAAAATTAGAGACTTTAATAGCTTTTTCTGGATGGCTATTTTCAGACCACTTCCACTCCCAGCAATCAAGTTAGCTCTGTTCCCAGATGATTGAGAACAATAATTTCCCTTTATRAGTAAAATTGTGATAATTGCAAGATACATTTTCATCAAGAACATAAATCACACAGCATTGCCACATGTCCATACTCTGGGAACAGTCCAAACACCATTGCAGGAGCTGAGGAACTATTCCAGGTTTGTTTGTTTCCTAGTCATTCAGATCACATGGGAAAGTCAAGGATGACCCTACAGAAAAATGTTTCTCAGGTTAACACAGATTGAGACCTGATCCAAAGTTCACACACACCGGAGACACTCAGCTTTGGCTCCCTTTGGACCTTGTCTGCATGTCCCTGGAGAAAGCGGCAGGGGTTGGGACAGCCACCACAGTGACTTAGCCCATGGACTCTGGAATGGCCCCCAACCCAGGGGAACTACCTTGACATCTGGGATGAAGAATACATCTTTGTTCTTACAATTTATCTATTTTGCTCTCACATCCTGACACTATCCCCTACGCCCTTTCTCAGCAAGAGGAGAGGGTTCCTAAAGCCCTACTTTGAGCTTCCCGCAGTTCACCGTCAAGGATACTGAAATATTTCCCCATCAAAAGAGAAATAAAGTGAAAATAAGTGAACACAGTGACATCACAGTTTCCTCTGCACAGAGGGTATTAACAAAGAAACCAAAAGCACTTCACAGATCTGGAGTTTATACCACAGCCACTCCATACCCCACAAGGTTTACACATGCTCCAGGTAAATTCACCTAKTTCTTCTATAGCAAGACTTAAAACTGTTGGAACTGATCTCTTAATATCATTTTTACAGAGATTAAAGAAAACATTTCAATAAGTGTGTAGAAGTCAGGGCCTGCCTCCTCCTGCACTGCAGTTCTTGGGCTGCACCACATTCTTCTGAGAAACATAACCCAAGCCTACACAGTTCCTACTGCTGTCACAAGAAGTGGACTTTGAGAGTGAAGCAACAGAGGGCACACATAAAAGCAAACAAAACCTTGGTAACACACTGTATAACTGTTTTGAAACATCACAGGTTGCTGGAGAATCAGAGAGGTCTCACTTCGTTCCTTTGAGCCTTTGAAACTAAATATTTATATTTA